TCTTTCTCGCTCACTTATTTGATCATCATCTATCATTGTCTACACTGAAGGTGTATATGTCAGCTATCGTAGCACACCAAACCCAAGATTCTGAGGCCGTTTTGTTATTTTGACATCCTACTGTAAAGAGATTCCTTCAAGGAGTAGCCCACCTTAATCCTCCAAGACCATGTAGTGTTCAGATAGCACGGGTGTAGGCATATAACATATTTTAGGGTGTTTTTTTTTAAGAAAAGGAAAGCCCCCAAAATTTGCACCAAAAAAACTTTGGGGTACAATATACTTTAACCTGTGTAAATTTGTGCATATAATTATTTTGTAGAATTTTGCCTCTCCTGTGGGTAGATTATTCTACTGAAAATTCTACTCAGATCTTCCACCTTGCTTTCTCAGATTGCATCCACTGTTGTCCAGACATTTATGTGTTAGTTGCATCCTTAAGATCTAAAAAGTTGATTTTCATGTTTTAAATTTTTAAAAAATGTTTTAAATAAAGATCAAGTTTTTTCAATTGCTGAATTGTGGTCAGTATCCAACAGTGTGCTTGTGTAGAATGCACATGGATGCAAATGGCAAACCACATACTTTAGAACAGTCTTATTCTGGAATAAGCAGTTGTAGCCTTAGATTAGACTTTCATAGCAGCCTAACCAGGTGGCTAATGTGGAAAACCACTGCATATTTTTTTGTTTATCTGATTAATAGAATTGCTTCTTTCCTGAAGGGCAACAGCGGCAGCTCTTCCAACTTTCTCATTTTGTGCTGTTCTGCATTTTCTTGGACTTGCACCCCCACCATCCTTTTTCTACAAGGTCATAATAGCCCTGCATTGAGCCGGACATGGGAAAGAACTAGCCGATTTGTCTGACTCACTCATGTCTGGCCTTCTGCAAGCATCAGAGCTGCGTTTATTCCAGCTGAGTGCCCATAAAAGGGCAGAAAAAAACTGAAAGCCAGCCTTGTCTGAGACTTCCTCTGCTTGCAGCACTCTGTTGCTTCAGCTTCTGGTGTGCAGGAGGAATGTCCCCTGTGCACACAGTCAATAGAAATCACATTCCTTGTTTAATTCTTCTCTGTTCTAAATTTCTATGCCAATCAATATTTTTTAGAGTTCCTCTCCATGCACTGGGTACTCAAAACTGTTCTGTAGTAAAATAATACCAAAAAATACACATACTCTACAAAAAGTGAAACACCTTATATGGTGCATTTTAATTCTGTCCACAGTTTTCACACTTGTGGGGTGTCTGATTTTCTGTCTTACAGAAGAAAGTAATGTTTTCAGTGTACAGTTTGCCAAATGTTAATACAGTATGTTTGAGCTGTTATTTGAAGAGAGATGAAATGTAGAGATAGCAGGATATGGAGAAGGCTCAGAATAAAGCAGGTATTTGGAGTTAAAAAGAAGAAAAAAGACCTGTTGCATGAGAAGTCTTCAGAGGGGTCCAGGAATAATCCTTACTAGGAATGTACATTTCTGAACTTTTTCTCAAGAAACATACATGGTTCTTGTTGTTTTATTAGGATGCCAACTACGCATACTCTTCCTCTTTGTTCTAATGTTCCTTCTAGGCTGAAGACTCTGACGAGTACTAAAGAAAGCTTATGTTCAATCAGACAGTAAGATACGTAGTAACATATTTAGAGGTATTTCAGGCATCGTTTTCTAATGCTTGTGCCAGAGGCAAATACTGATCATCATAGACATCCTTCAGTCTCGAGAGACTATGGTAACATGCTCTGTATCGAGAAGTGTCCTCTCCAGAGCATGAAGCCTGGGTAAAGTAGTATGGAGGATAGGCTGTTACCCAAGCAGCAAATCCCCCCTCTCCACGTTGCTGAAATGGTCCAATGGAAAGGCAAGAGCCAATACAACTGGTTCCAGCAACGTCACAGGAGTTGGCAGAACGGCACAAACTACCTTCGGGACTCCAGCTCCGGATTTTGCCTCTAGGTTAACTCCTGAAGCCTTTTCCATGAGTGGATATAGCCACAAGGCAGTGGAGGTTTGAAATTGGAGTTTTCCTTCTCCTACATGGGCTGCCTTCCATGGCTGACAAGCCCCACCTACCCGGCCTGCTCTCTAATAGTGCGGAAGTATGATCGGACCCTGATTTTCTAGAAACTGAAGTATATTAATTAGATAGGGGCCACAAAAAGCTAAGATAGATGCACTTTTCAAACCAGAGTTTGGCAGTTGCTTTGTGTTCTACTGGGATGGAAATGCTCATATATAAAGTTTCTTCCTCTGTTTTACTTTTGTGAGGTTGAGTATAGGGAGCAAGTCTTCTGCATTAAGAAATTACATTTTGTCCACTCCTGTTCTAAAGAAACAATTTTCAGATATGCAGGGTCTGTACATATGGATCTCTGAACCTTGAAGGGCCCCTCTCACAACTCTTATCCTCAGTAAACAGATTGTTACATATTGCAGAAAACGCAATAAAAACAAAGTGCTGGGTATCTTGTGCTTGATGCAAAAACTCTAGTAGAAGAACAACCTTCAGAACACGGCCAAAGAGCCCGAAAAACCCACAACTACCAGTTCTGGAAGGACTTGGAAAATCTTCAAGCGGCTGTCTTGACCAAAATCTTGTCAACTATACAACTCCCTCATCCACACTTATTTGTAGTAATACTTTATCTAAAAAAGGTAGGTGGCAGTCTACAAAGACTTATGCCAAATAAAACTTTTTAGTTTTAATGGTACCATAAGACTTACTGTTGCTTCTACTTATAAGATAATATGGTCTGTGCAAATATGAATATTGGTGTGAAACACCAGGGGTTCAGATAGTTTTGTACCAACTCAAGGCCTTTATGTATCCCACATATTCTACCTTTTGAGACAGCATGGCAGCCAATGTCTACAGAGCCTCTAATGTCTGGTGCATTTAGAAACACATATACAGTTGTTCAGACATCCAACTCTAGGAAGTAATTTTCCCCAGGCAGCTTTCTAAGCGCCACATGGTAGGCATACCCTATCATATTCCCTAGAGTCCTCATTACTGGCTAAAATTGCAGTTGTGTGTATCTGTGTGTTCCTTAGTTCTTTGTATTGACTGTTGTTTACTTGAAGGCTCTCAACCATTCGAGATCCAGGAAGCTGCTTGCAGCTGTGACTGTCTCTCTATGATCTGTGAGAATAAGGCACCCTGTCTTCTGTTTTCCATGCTGGCTCCAACTGGGAGTGCTGGCAAAGCTGTTTGCATCCACCAGTAGATTATTTAAAGGCTTTTGTCCTAAGCTTGAAAAAGAGAGTACAATTCCTGTGTAAATATATCTTGAGTTGAAGTATACCATTTTCAGTTTCACAGAATTCTTCATCTTGCAGAAGTCTACAGCAAAACTGTTCTCACCAATCAAATTTATTCTGAGTATTTTGTGTAGTAGTTAGAATGACAGACCCAGACTCAGGAGACTTGGATTTGAATTCCTGCTCAGCCATGGAAATGTCTACCTCCATTCTTATACATTTAAAAATGATCCTGGGTATTGTATATTCCCCACCTCTGTGTGAAATTAATGAACCTTGCTATAAAATGAATGTGTATGGATAAATACACTGAAATTAGTGCGATTTGAGTTAGTCATGAGTAACTTATGACTCAATTTTTGGTGTTTTTGTGCTATTGTTAAATTCGTTTCAGATCAAATACTGTATGTATAATTGACCTCTCTTCTTGTAGCCAATCCTTAGGATTATTTTAAAACGGCCGGGGGGTGTTTTCATTTGTTATATAAGTATGTGAGAGCAAACAGACATGCAGAAACTTCTGGGGGGGGTTAGCCCTGTGAGTCTGTTGCATGGAAATCTACTAAGAGTTTTAGGGTGCCTTTGTTACTCAAAATGCAGAATCTCTCCAACACCTTAACACACATTAGACATGCAGAGATGAGTGTACAAGGAATTTATCTGTTGAGGACCTCAGTGGTTTTGACTTCTCTGATTCCTGAAAATAATTCATGTGACTCTTAATTCTGTCTAATCAGAATGGAGTGACTCAGATCAAGGTTTAGAAGGGATCCATCTGGAAACGCTCTTCATTCTGGGTTGGCTCAAAAATGATAGGCAACATATCTTCTGATTTTCAGGACTAGCCCTCACCATTGTGCAGCTAAAAAGAAAAGTCTGGAAAAGCACATCTGTTACGCAAAACCAAGAAATGTGTTCTGAGGTCAAGGAGCCAAGCCTGAGTATCTTCCCCTGATTTTTGCCTTCCTTTTTTGGATTCTCATTCCTGTTCTGATCCTCACACCCTTTGCTTTCTGTCCCTATCTTTGGGTTCTGCTGCTATATATTGCAAAGTACACAATCATAATTTCAGTTTAAGTTAATTTTATTTATTTATTTATTTATTTATTTATTTATTTATTTATTTAACTTATATGCCGAAGACTTTTTACCCGAAGACTTTTTTATGATATAAAATTTTTCCCTGCTTTTGTTCTATATTTCATCAAATGCTTTTCTAATTGCAGTAACACAATACTGTATCAGCATTTAACACTCTTGCTTTGTCAGATAAGAGTTCTCTGTTTAAAAATGTCCGTGGATATTCACTGTTTAATGCTTGTTCTTTTCACTTCAGTTTGTGCATATATTGGCCAAAATCCTACTAGTGTTCATATAACGTTTGTGTTTACTTGCCCCAGCTAATTTATAAGGTCCTAGGGCATCTTGGTCACATATCTGATTGTACAACAGTCGCAGTTATCCATAGCAAGTTATATGAACCTTATGCAGACACCAATAGGATTACAGCCATTAATTGCACAGTAGTTTGAAAACTATGTTATCAAACAGAGGCTGAAAGGGGTTAGAGATCTAACTACCACAATGTCTTGACTGATTCTCGCCCATACCCGAAGTGGATTTTCTTGTCATGGTGACTTCCAGATCGCATCTTCTCCTTTTCAAGTTAGGACTTCTTTGTGCTGAAGGAAGAGATGAGGCTGGATAAATAATATGTGTATTTCCCCATTTTCATACACAGGTCCGCTATAAAGAAGAGTTTGAAAAGAATAAAGGGAAAGGCTTTAGTGTGGTGGCTGACACCCCTGAATTACAGCGAATCAAGAAGACTCAGGATCAGATCAGTAATGTAAGCAGCCCTTCATACTCCTTTTCCCATATGTTTTCTGGATATAAAGCTATTTAATTTTATTCGTCAGTTCGGAAGCTCAGTTCTGCTCTAAAAATGTAACCTGCAAATTCCTTAATTGTTTAATTGGAGCATTTTTTTATAAATCAGACAGTGTTTCAAGAAATTGGCTCCAATTAAACAATTAAGGAATTTGCAGATTCAGTCCTTTTTTTCAACAGAAAATGAAAGTTTATATTTATAGGTTCATATGCTTAAAGTACAAAATGCTGATTGTGAGTTCTTGTGTTACATGAAACTCCTTTTTCTTCCTTTGTATTGCAGAAATATTTTAAATATATACAAATAAGGTTTTGTAATCTAGGAAGAAATATATGTAGGAAGGAATTATGCATCTTAATTTATGTAATACGAAAACTTGTTTTAAAACTAATAGATTGTCTCTATACTTCCAGTTCAAGGAAAGGAAAGCCCTTGAAGCCTCAGATTGCAACCAAGAATTAATTAAATTGATTTATTTTTCCTATAAATTAATAGAAATAAGGAGGGTTTAGGCAGGAAGGCTGTCCACCCTTGCTAAAAGGATGAGATTACATAACATATAATAAACTGCTGGGAAATATAAACTAGTATTTTGATTACAGCAACTTTATTTTGCTTAGAACGTCTTTTGGATAGTAGTCTAAGAGAATAATTTGGGTTTCTGGTATAGTAGACCAACCCCCCGGTCCATGGCCGGACAGGGCCATGGAGACAGATCTCACACACCCCGCATGCATGCACGGCCCGCCACCCACACTCACGGCTGCCCCTTGTGAGCGCACCCGGCCCCTCCACGAGCGTGCCCCACCCACCCACGAACATGGGGGTGCCCCCCACCAGTCCCCGGTTCAGAAAAGGTTGGGGACCACTGAAGTAGACAAGTCAGTTAACATTGCAAGAAACTGGATTCTTTTTCTGAGTCAGGTATTACTCACTGAAAAAACACAATGTCTCCCAGACTTCTTTCTTTGTACTCAAATTATTTGAAAGAAAACTGATTCTACTTTTTTTTTGTCATAACTGTTTGAAACTCCCACCCCCTTTACAAATGAAAGGGACATATCTTAAGAAGCCAACTGCATAGTGTGTAATTTTTTTTTTACTACTTACCGTGTCTCTCACACCTTATGGGACTGGTAAACTGTAGAATGAAGTGGTACCAAGGTTTTACTGACATCTTAGAAATGAACAGGTAAAAAAAAAAATGAACTAAAATATTACGTCAGTTTGCAGAAACTGGTTCCAACACTGCTGCCTGGGGTGATGGAAGTTGTAGTCGAACAACCGTAAGCTGCCAAATTGGGGAAAGCAGACTTTTGGTAGTGAATGGCTTGATGATTAGGCCAGAGATATCTAAGAATCCTGTTTCTCTGATTACCCAGAGTAGCTGTTTAGGCATAACTTTGCTTTATATATCTTATCTGGAAACAGTAGCCGGGTTCCTGTGTATTTCTCCCTCCTATTCTTCAGAAACTGTCTCCTGTTATTGTCCATCTGTTTTCCCTATGAGCTTACTCTCTTCCAGCTCCAACTGAACAAAGAGGGCCTCAGCCACCCTGGAACTGGTAGATTAGAACCAGCTGTTAGATCCTTCCTTCTGTGTATTCTATGCTTTGGATGGACTAGGACCCAGCCTTCACAGCACCTGCTTTCTTGAAGCTGTGAGAGAATGGTACAATCAGACAAATGCTGTCCTGTAAGAACAGCTGGATAGTTCAGTGGTTTAGGTCTTTGGCTGTGGAGCCAGAGATTGGGAGTTCAATTTCCCACTGTGCCTCCTTCACAGAGGCTGGACTCAATGATACATAGGGCCCCTTCCAGCTCTGCAATTTTAAGATTATAACTCAACAGGAAGGAGAAACCTGCTTTATTTCCTCTTTTTGCAATTTGGTCATGTAGGAAAATAGCAAAAATAGTCCTATCTATGATCATTTTTGCCATGGATAATTTCCACAATTTTTAGTAAACAAAGCAGTCTGCAGTTCCTGTTCTTGCAGCTGGTTAACCTGGGTGAAAGAGAGTAACTTATCCAACACTATGCAGAGTTCATTGGATTCAGTAGGATTTAAGTACAGTACGGTACTGTGTATTGGGCCCAAACCCTACGTTAGTCCTGGATTATTATTTTGAATTGGTTGTTTTAGTAGTGCAACTATACAAAGGACGACCAATTGGGGATTGCATCACAAACTTCACGTTCTTAAAGGACTGGAGAAGAGTAAATGCTTCTGTGACTAAGTTCCTTAGAATTAATCTTAAAATTAATTGTGGTAGTTATTCAGTGTTGCTACAGCTCAATAAAGAGATTTTGTTCCCATGTTATTTGGGGGGGGGGAGATGAACAGAAATTCTTGACTTGTTTATGAGATAAAGTTTGAACCCCGGTTCCCACAGTGCCTACTGGGGTACCCTTTTATACTGGATCTATCTACTACTTACTTACCTACAATTATATGAAATATCAAGGCTTCAGTGGTTAAAATTAGTGGTTGATGATTGCTTGGTATCTTATCTGTATAATCCAAGCTGCAAAATACTTTTCTTCAGGCTGTTGACTAATCTGCCCTTAATAATTTGCTTTGGCCATCTGGTGTGAACTGGCGCTCTGCAAGTTAATTCAGGGGGAGCCCTGGAGGATGAGTGTAATCCCTCAGGGATTCCCTTCCCAGGCCCTCTGCTCCATAGTCTCTTTTTGCCACATACCCTTTGAGCTTTCAGATCGAGCAATAGCCTTTTTTTGTTTCGCTGTTCCCCTCTTCAGTTACTGACTTAATTCACTCCCTTATTGGCTGGAGACACCCAGATTCTGCATTTACATTTGTGTATCCTTTGAGTGTCATAGTACAGAAAAGGTTTCCCTGTCTTTCCTGTCATGTGTGCTTTTAAAAAAGAGATTTGTCGCTTCTTAATAATGAACATGATATGCAAAGTTGTCTTTATTATTACACAGCAGCAAAGATGGGCCTAAATATGTGAACAGTGCTTGACTGGCACTGAAACACCAAAAAAGCCAGTACAGTGGGTAATCATGGAAGTATCCATGAGGTTGTTAAGCAGAGTTGTGACAGCACATTATAGGAAATTGCCAGACTTTGCCCTGGCTGAGGACAACTGGAGATAGAGAGTGAATTGTATTTACTGCTTGCCAGTATAGCAATTTTTCTGCTATAACTGTGAACACGGGATATGGTTTATAGCGAGCTCTTAACATATTAATCACATTCCTTCGGAATTACAATTTTTATAGAAATGAAAAAGCATTTTCTTGTCCCCAAGCTATTCAGCAGCAGCAGATGGCTTTACCTGCTATAGATACTGAAATAGCAAGATGTGGCAGGAGCTTCTAGTTACCAAAATCACTCTTCTCTATTCAGTTTTTTTCCACCTCTGTTCTCCTGTAATCTGTTCACCTAGCCCACAAATCTTAAAACATTTCCTCTCATCCAGTTTTGATTTCCACCCTCTGTTTATCATGGCTCAGTCTTGGTTTCTTAGAATGCCAGTGCATGGCCCTGTGAAATTTAGTTATGATCATATGTTTAACCGTGTAGAGAGCACTGTGTTCTTACCACTGAATACTTGCAACCAGCACTATCTAATAGCATTTTTCCCAAAGACTAGGATTGTAGCAAATTATGTTCCATCTACTGACTAGAAAAGGGCAGTTCACATATCTGAACATGGGAGGAACTAGCTGGCATTAAACTGAGCAGTACTGTATATGCCAAACCATTCCATCATGTAGAAGCAAGGAAGTTGATGACAGCCCATAGTACGTGGCAGTCTAGTTCTCCACTGCCACCTTTTGGTTTAGATGCAATACTGCAGTAACTTCTCTACTGAGCCAAGAAGGTTGAAGGGAGCTGCTAGAAAGCACTTGTATTCAGGTTTGAGGACAATGCTTATTTCTGAGCTTTCCACACCAGGATTATCTGTTCATTTATATGCAACTTCTGGTGAGTGTTTGCACATCTGCCTCAATCATGGAGTTTCATCTAAAGCAGTAGAGAGAAATGCAAAGGCAGTAAGAAGGGAGAAAGTGGCATGGTGATTCTGAAGATGGCTCACAGAGAATCTCCTACCAGTTTTGTTGGGAGTACACTATACTTACAAACAAGTTGAAGGGCTTCCTCTTCATCTCAGAATTATTTGGATGTCTTTCTGCATGCTATTCTAATACTTTTATCCTTCCTTTATAGATAAAATATCATGAAGAATTTGAGAAGAGCAGGATGGGCACACCTGGTGGAGAAGGAGGGGAACCTGAACGTCGCAATTCCCAGGAGGGTGCTAATTACAGGAGGCCAATGGAGCAGCAACCACCTCCACACCAGCAACCTCATCATGTCCAGCCAAGTACCCCTGGTAATGAGCTACCGTAGTATAATCTAGAGGCTTAAAGGGGAAATTCTAGCAGTTCAGCTATTATGCCCCTATATATTCCTGGGGAAAGACTGTAGGATAGAACATGCATGCATGCACACACAAATCTAGCACTGTCCATTGTGTATGAAAGGCAGTGCCTTTGTAAGGCTCTGCTGGAGTTGTCAAACAAAGATAGAGTGACAAGAGAAGCAGAAAGAGATGATTCTGGGCTATGCCAAATCAAATCTGTCCATCCACAATTTGTTCAGATTGTACACTGTATATCTGTGAAGCTTTAGCCACGTATGAACAGAGTAGTTGACAACCAGCTCAAAGTAATTGGTTGCTAAAAGATGGAATGAAGAAAACCATTTGGACAAGGCTTGTCACTTTTTATCTGCAAAGGCTGAATGTGCAGCTATGTGAGAAAGTATTAGATGAAACATAAAGTAGAAGACTGCCGGAGAACATAGAAGTGCTGAAAATAACAATTAGAAATGAAAAACATATTGAGACTGCTTTCTTAGTCAACTTTGTGGTAAGTTTTTTTAAATTAACTAATACTCTGTTCATCTGTTACATGTAATAGTGTGAACTTATTTTATTCTGTTAACTTTGTTTGATGATATCTGATCTGATATACCTACCTTCAGACAAAATCCATGTTAGCTCCTTAATTATTTTCTAGGAACTGAAGGCCCCACGTAATGGTTATAACCATATAATCACTTAAAACAAGCCAAGAACCAATTTCCAACTTTGTGCGTTATGCAAAAAACAATGGCCCTGGTGCATCACATAGTAAATTACACTAGAGTAGGCCTATTGAAATCGTGGGGATTTGGTGAGTCAGCGTTACAATAAGTTAATTCAAATGGATCTACTGTAACTGAGTTACAATGGATCTACTGTAACTGAGTTACAATAGACCTATTTGAATCAATGGAATTCACAGAGGAATTGGCTTACCAGATCCCCATTAATGTAGTGGGCATAACTTGAATGCAATTTATTATGCCAAAAGCAATATTTTGGCCAGTGAATTCTGTAACAAGGAAATATGAGACTGTTGTTGCTTTAAAATAAAATGCAGATAGGTCTTAAGAGAAGAGAAATCCAAAAGAGCTCACTGTTCCACCATAGACCTTGAAAAAAAAACATATTCACTTGGTTATTTAGCCACCAGAGGGTAAAGAGCTCACTGTTCCACCATAGACCTTGGAAAAAAAAACATATTCACTTGGTTATGTAGCCACCAGAGGGTTAACCTGTGTCCTATTTCTGTTTTCTCAAGTTATCACTTCTCCCATTCCTTTTCTGAAAGACATACTGCTGTCATTGATTTGTGTATTTTCTTCATGAGAAACGGCTTTGTCCTCATTGTAGCTAATTAACTTGAACTGAATAACTGTAAGATCTCTTATTGAAATGGATCAGTCAAAGATAGATGGTTGTAGTTGGAGACTACAACTGCATATGTCTTTTTCAAGTTATAATGTTGAAAAATAATTGGCTTTTCATAGTAGAATAGCTGGAGGGAGGAGAGAAACGGGATCCTTCTGGTTCCTTTAGAGTTTGTGGCCTGATTAGTGGTTGTGTAGGTTCAATTCTTGTGCATCTTGTGCTCACCTTAACTGTTGTCTCTTTGTCTCTCCCTCAGTTTATCACCACCAGCCGCCGCCACAACAGCCTGCCTCTCAGTCTTTTGGCTACAAGGAACCAGCGGCACCTGTCTCAATACAGCGTAATGCTCCATCTGGAGGAGGAGTGAGTATGGTCTGGGAAGGGAGTAAGAGAGATAGTTATGAGCTTGCTTCTATGGCAAAGGAAAACAAATTAAATGGATTTACTGATGAAAACTGACTTATTGCAGATGTCTCTTTGCATTGAAAAGTGCATGTGGTCAGTAGCTTTTCTTATAGCAGTATGCCCCCAGAATTGGATTTTCACTCTGAAATAAGCAGGCTAACTCTCGAACAACCTTGTAATGGTTACACATGCCATTTCTTTACAAATAGCACTGATAGAGGAGTTAATCCATCATAGCAGACTTCTAAGAAGACTGACAATTTATTGCTTACTTTTTTGTCAGCCACCAGGAAAATACAGAGTTGGTGTTCAAAGGTAGAGTGTAAAATCAGGAGTAAACTTGTAAGAAACAATGAATATTTTCCTTCCTCACAATCTCCCGCCATAGCCATCCCAATAGTGACTAACAGCTGCAGAAAAGGAGGAAGGGGTGAGAGAATACTACTGCTCATCTGAATGTAGGAACTTCATTGTTCCCTTTTCCTTGCTGCTCACCCGTTTCAGTTAAGTAAGTAATATGAAGCAATAGATTGTGGGGAGTTGTACATTCTCTGTGCCCACTCAGGCAAACAGTAGCTCAGGAGAAAAAGGTAATCTTGGGTTCGTATGGGAGATGCTGGTGGTCCAGGTAGGAAGACTCTGTGAGCAACATCTGACCTATGAACTGGAAATTCCCCACTGTAGGGTGACACAGAATGTGGGAAATGCTGGGTTTATTTTGCAAAAACAGAGAATAGTATAAAACATAGTTGATAGGGTCCAGGAAGTCATTACAGTCTTGTAGAAAATTGGAGGTTTGAGGGAATGTGAACATCTGGTTTGCCAGATGTCTAGTAAGAAATGGTATTCAGTTGCCACATTAGGTGCATAAATAAATAAAGGAAATTTTCAAGAGCCAGTACATACAAGAATGGGAAGGATCATGCAGAGCAGTAATACCTTAGGTGCACTTGGTCATGGCTCCTAACTACTGTACTCTACAAAGCCACACATTACTGAACGTCTGAATCTGAGTGGCCAAGCTTACTATTAAATAAAAATTGACAGCCAATGCAGAGTCTTCCCCCAACACCTTTGCAATCTCTGAGAACTGACCCATTGTTACTCTGTTCTCTCCCTGTTTCCTAGAAGCGGTTCCGTGCAGTCTATGATTACAATGCAGCTGACGAGGATGAAGTCTCTTTCCAGGATGGTGACACCATCATCAATGTGCAGCAGATTGATGACGGTTGGATGTATGGCACGGTTGAAAGGACCGGCGATACGGGCATGCTTCCAGCCAACTATGTGGAGGCTATATGAGCTCCACTCTGGTGCCACCCTGAAAGCAAGCAGGAGAGGGCTCTCGTGTGCTTCTTGTTCCATTCATTATCCCTTTTCTGCTGTTTCATCACACATTGGTTTATTATCTTCTGAACCTCTGATATGGCCATCTTTTACTCTTCTGCCAACATAGCCTTGTGAGGCATTTGAACTTGGGGTGGGTGTCTTTTTTCATTACTGTATAAGACTTTTCTCAAAGGCCAGCTGTCCTCCCATCCTCTTTCTTAGCTTTCATGGAACATGGCACTGTGTCTTCATCATCCCGAAATATCTGCCCTTTGGTAAATTAATTGGATCCAGTATGAAGTAAATGCATCCTAATTAAACTGCTACAGGGAATCAAGAAATAGTGTAGAGAAATCCAGCCCAGGAACCAATGCCATGCTTATTTTGGGGGGGAATGTGCAGTTATGTGGTAACTTTGGGAGAACCTCAGATTCCATTGAAAATTTTATCCAGGACCTCAGTTTGCATGCTGACCCTTGCTCATGTATATTCTGTTAAATCTTCTTTTTCTATTAGCTTTAAATGTAAGTTTGGAGGAAATCACAGCATTTGTTTAAAAGCAGGAGAGCCTTGGGCAAAATCAAAACAACCAGCATATCTGTGAGATTAAAGCCAAAGTAGGTGCTGCTATAGAGGTGGAGAGAAATTTAGGAGAATAATGGTAATTCTAGTCAGTATACTCAAGTATTGGTTCTTGGGTACCATGGCTAAGAAGAGAAAATATCTACATAGGCTTGATGTGGGGCATGTGGTAAACATGCATTCTGTGTTTCTGGGGAGAAGGGGCTTGACATAAAATGGGCTCAGGAACTAAACCTGCTACCCAGGACTTTGCTGGTAATGAGTATCAACTCAGTTTTGGTGCTACCTCCCAGCCTCTAAGAATGTGAGTAGGGACATCATATTTGACATGCTTCCAGCCAGTTTTGCTGCTCTTTCTTTTACCCTAAAGTTTCAGTGAATTTTTGAAGCAGCCTATGCAAGACTATCTCAGCAAATGCCTGCATATAAAGCCTTCTAGGGGGGGGAAAAACCCTGATGTCAGTGTTCCCTTTTTCTATCAGTGTCCAAAATTTTGTTGGTAGTTAATGTGTGGGAAAATATGAATGATGGCAGACCTACACAAAAGCATCAAACAAATGCTGTGGAGGTGCTAATATTGGGACCAGTTGCTGTTTTTAAATGGAGGGTATTCCTGGGGATCTACTGAAGGTTGATCCTGTGCAGAGTGCTTTTTCTCCTAAACCCAAGTCCCTGTTAGCCAAAGACAGAGTAGTAAATGCCTCCATCTCCCTGTCTTGTAGCTTTGAGCCAAGCAATGTTTACAGTTTTCTATCCTCTCTCCATTGCCCCCTAGCCAGCTAGGCGATTGGGTCAACAGGTCAGGGGAGCAAATGCCTTGCACTAGAAACATACCTCTTCCCCCTTTTCTGGTATCAAGCTGGCATACTGTTGTTGGCTTGGGATAGTATCATGGACCAAAAGCAAATTCCATGGACTGTTTTACAGTAAAAATAGCAGGGAACAACTATAACTGGAAATTTATAAGGCTGGGAATGCGTGATAGAAGAACAGAGGCCAGGCAGACAACCTTCAAAGCAGGAGTGAGAATTTTCAGTCACCATTAATTCATGCTCTGCACACTGACTGCTGCTTCTGCTACTTTTAAAGATCTGCAGTCATTTAAATGTTGGCAAAGAAGAGCAAACCCTGTTCAAATAATACGTACCCTGCTTCTCAGAACTGATATCTGTAACACATTTAGATGTGAGGTCATTAATTGCTTCAGATGGAAGTGATGCCTGGGAAGTACCCATAGTATGTAAAATGTGAAGTAGCTTTATGGTAATGGACTTTGTCCTGACCAGGACAGTTGAAACAGATTGATGAGCTGAACTTCTGGAGATACAGTTTTTAAACTTTTTACATACACACCCCAGTAATGCTTCTCTCTAGACACTTTTGTGAAGAGATGCTTGGTTACACTGAATCCCTTCCTGTTTTTTAGTTATTTTTCCAGTACATGTTATACATAAGGACCAGATTTTAAAAAGCTTGCATATATGTGTTCTTGATTCTCCCCCCCCCCATTCCAGTCCCCTCCTCCTGTGCATAGCAGCAGCATATCAGAGACTAGCCTTCTCTCCACATTATTTCCACTCTTTCTGTGGACTTTGTGGTGCAGAGAAAGAATAAAGGGTAGAATTTAAAATAACTTAAAAGCATCAGCTTAAGCACCACTCTTTACAAGAGATGCAAAATAGGCTTACGTTAAGCAAGAGGGTAAGGAGAACTTTCTCCCTCAGATGTTTAAATTGAAAACAGAGAGATGCTTCATTTTATAATTTCTTTGTACCCAGTAGAGTGCAAGATGCTAGTGTCTTTAGCTTAATCTCACAGGAGGATTTTAAATATCTTGGGGAGATGCCTGCCCCAGTTTTGATTTGACATTCTTGCATATCCCTCAGTTCAGAGGCAGAAATAGTGACCAAATGATCAGATCATTCTTTTAGAAAGGTAAGAGAAGCACAAATGTTTTTATGATTTTTTTTCTCTTTAAAATATCCTGGTCACTACTTTTCCTTTGTACACTTGCACTAGTGAAAAAAGTGTTCAATGGAGGAGCGTTTCAGTCTTGTCTTCACCATTTCTATATCCCAAGGAGAACCGTTTGTAGAAATAGAATGGTCAGTGAGAATGATGGCAGCTTTTTCTTCAAGACCGTTTCTAGAGGGATGTAGAAGTTTAGGGGCCATCTGACATTGGGTGTGAGCTTTCAGATGGTGTCCCCAAGGGTGGCTGCTGTGCAGAGGTCACATTCTTCTTGGTGCTAACACAGAAGCACAAGTTTAGTAATGGCTGTTTTTCTAACAGATGAGAAAGGCAAAATCATGTACAGACAATCCTTAACAAGGACAGCGTTTTGTGAAGAAGATACAAAGTAACATAATGTGAATAATTATTTTTAGAGGACCAAATAAAAGTGCTCATTTTTTAATCTCCTAGCTTTTTCACCTTTGTCTTGGGAGAAAGGTTTCTCACTGCTAGATTTTTTTCTGCCTTCTTTGACTTATGCACTTTTGCCTTTGATTTTTTTTCCATTAGCTGAAAAGCACCTAAACCTGTATTTAAATAAATAAAATTGTAAAACAAGAAAAACAGCTAAATTGCATCTGTGTAGCCATTTTTATTCATGTCTAGTCTTTTGTACATCTTAGCTTTTCAGGCTAGATCTCAGTGTCTGATATTAGAATGACTTTTTGTTTGTTTGTTTGGAGTATATTTTGGGGATTTCATCTGTTGTCTTTGTGTATTTCTTCTTTATGGGCATGCATGCCCTCTCCAAAAGTCATTTGGTCTTTTTCAATGGCACCGTAGAATCAAACATAGTACCAGTTATCTTCTGGTTTACACCAATTTGAAAATAAAAATATAATTTTTATCTACTGAGTGATGTTGGTCTTCATTTATTCTTTTATTTTTCCTCACTGAAGTACTATGCATAAATTAAATCTTCCAGAAATCATATTTGAGCATGCCAACACAGGAGGGGAAAAAAGCAGTAAGATTGCTATTCTAGAGCAGCAATACAAATTGCACTCATCTTTATGAAACCCATAACTACTCTAGAGTAGTCTGGTAGACAGGAGTGGATTTGTTTGTGGAAGAACTCTGAACTCCTTTCATTTCTGGTATTGAAAACAAATTCCTGGACTTGAATTAACCAATTCTCAGTATACCAGGCTGACATGGGTGAGTCTGGAGAAAGTGATTTCTGCAAGCTTAACATGAATCTACCCAAATGCACATATTGTAGCACTGAGGAACTTAAGACAAAATGGCATCACGTTCAGCCATCATAATTGGGCCATAATTTAGCTGTCCATCAAAAGCAAAAGTGCTGCTTAAGACAGCCAGGCCACACACATCCTCTTTGTGAACTTTAAATATATCCTGTATGTCTTTTTCCAGAAGCTATAGATTTCTGCCCAACCAGTACTAGAAACACAGTTGAAACTTTTTTTAAAATTCTGTACAAGGTAAGGTGTCTGTGTGTGTGTAACTGAAGAATCTGCCCTGGTCTCTTGTAATACTGTGTGACATGGCCAGATCTGTGACAGGCAACAAAAATTAGAATAATGTAAAGTGCCTTTAGCTAAACAGTAAGATGGATCTGCTTCCCTCAATTAAAGCAAAGAAAAAATAACAATCTGGTACAAGTTTGATAATTGTTGGAATGGCACATTAATAAAATCCCAGTAGCAATGACTTTCCAAGGAGTGACATATATCACCCTGTTGATTACTGAGCCACAATTAGCCTATGTGCACATATATCAAGAATAGAGAATGTGCTCCCCCTCCAATTATATTGCATTCCATCTTTTTGTTTGTCTTGAAAGAAGAAAATCCAGAACAGGGTGGGATGGGGTGGGTTTTCTTCTGAAAAAATTTTTTACAGCCAAGAACATCGGACAGTTCTTGAGAAGAAAACCTAGGCCCTGGTCATATGAGGGAAATGTTCTTTAGTTATCTCTAACTTTAGTTTGTTGGGTTTTTTCCTGGTCAGACAATGCACAGTCAGCGTCAAAACATTTTCCCTGCCAATTGTATAACTACAAAATATCCCCTTGGACGCAAGGGTTGTGTTATTTTGTACCTGTGTTGTACCGATGCATTGATTGCCTGTGTACGTGACCTGCCCTGCTTTTTTTCAAAAACTCAAAGTTTTTGCCCCCTCCAGTTGCTCCTAGCCCCTTTTCAAACTACGTTGGTACCTTTTCTTCATCAATGGCATACCATCACAAATGATAGATGGGTTCTCTCCATCATTGCCCAAGACTGCAGAATTGAATTTGACGATCTATCCCCCTTGGGGTTTATCTGCTCCACGCCATTCTTCCATACTCTCCAAGAGGAGGTCTCTACTCTCCTATCCAAACATGCTATTACTCCAGTTTCTCCCAATGATTATTATTATGGTTTCTATTCAAAATACTTCATGGTTCCAAAGAAGGACGGTGAACTATGTCCTATTCTAGATTTTAAACACCTTAATGATTTCATTTGACCCCATAAATTCTGAATTTACTATTATCTCTGCTTTCACAGGGAGACTAGTTTATCATAAGCGACTTACGAGACACCTACTTCCACATCTCCATACATCCTTCAACAATACCACAAGAAAAAATTTTAAAAATACGCAAAGCAATTGCTCCCTTTCAACCTCAAGGGAACGTGTCTGCCTGCCACACACAACATCTTCTCAGGCTCATGGCCTCAACTACGTCAGTGATACAGCATGCAAGGCTCAAGAGCACTTCAGGCCACCACACACAACATCTTCTTAGGCTCATGGCCTCAACTACGTCAGTGATACAGCATGCAAGGCTCAAGATGAGAGCACTTCAGGCTTGGCTCCTGTTTCTCTTCGACCCCATAGCAGACCCACCATCCATGAAACTAACTGTTACGCAAGAGCTAGCAGATCAACTCCAGTGGTGGACTTACCGCCGAAACCTACTTATCGGACGACCTTTCTGCCCTCTTCAACCAATGGTTCAGGTCACAACCAATGCCAGCCCTTTGGGGTGGGGAGCACACTACCTTTGTCAAAAGGTCCATGGCCTGTGGTCAAAATGAGAACAAACCATATCAACCACCTAGAACTTTTGGCGATCATCAGAGCATTCCATGCCTTCCTTCTCCTCTTCAAGGGTCAGGTCATGCAACTTGCAACAGACAACACGACAGCCCTATATTATGTCAACAAGCAGGAAGGTACCCATTCCCCCTCTCTTTTGTACCTGGCTGTTGACCTATGGGAGTGGTGTTATCAAAACCACATCTTCCCCATAGCAGTACACATTTCGACAGAAGACAACTACATGGCAGATCATCTCAGCTGCCTACCATTAGGGACACACAAATGGTCCCTGAACGATGCCATATTCCATCAACTCTGTCTCCATTGGGGCACTCTGACCATCGACCTCATCACATCAACGACAAACAGCAAGTGTACAATCTTTTGCTCCTGAGCCAGAGCGGACACCAATTCCATAGGAGATGCATTCATAGTGGACTGGTCCAGGGACTTCCTCTACCTATTCCCTCCGATACCGCTCATTCAAAGAGTGATCATTCAGCTCCGACAATCCAGAGCGAACACGATCCTCATAGCTCCGAAATGGCCCAGGCAACCATGGTTTACTCACCTCACATCAATGTCAACAGACTTGTTCCGTCTTCCCCTATGGCCGAACCTCCTCACACTCAACCAAGGGATGATCCACCATCCAGACCTGACGTCCCTGAGTCTCACGGCCTGGAGGATACTCCCGAGTTAAGGGCTATTCTGGACCAAGCCTGTAAACCATCCACCAGAGTCCTATACGAAAATAAATGGAAATCGGTCATCAAATATACAACGGAAAACAACTTACCCGCCATTCCTGTTTCCTTGAAGACTTTAATTTCCTTCCTTCTCCATCTCTTCCTTAAAGGTATAACATATCTGCCATTGTTGCCCATCAACCAGACAACTCTCCTTCTGCAAGGTTGTTTCTTAATCATAGGATGGGAAAACAATTCTGCTGTCTTCCTGTTCAGCTGGCCACTCAGCAGCCATGTAGGGAGACCCGTCCTCGCGCCCCCTGCCTGGAGTGGGCAGCCAAGCAGGAAGACAGCAGAGCCCCAGGTGCCGTTGGCAGGACAAGCGGGACCATCACTGCGGTGGGATGTGTGAGTGGATGATCCAGTCCTGGGGGCCAGACCCTGATTAGGGCCAGCTGGGACAGGGATATTCCGATATGAATACGAATATCCCCATCTCTATTATCCATCTCTAGTACAAACTTAATTTCTTCTGTGTAAATCTGTAGCTTTGGCTTCATCCTTGTTCTCACATCTGTTGATGGTTCACTAAATTTAACCAGTTTATTAATAAAATACAGTAATAGTGAATAAGACATTATAGCTTACTGTAGCTGAAGCTCTGATTCTTGTGTACCATCTTTAACTTCCAGATAGTGTTTCTAACCTGTAAAATGCTTTATAGCAGATAATGTGTTTAGCAGTCTAAGAATCACAACCCCTTTGACATCCAAAGTGGAGTGAAACAGGGCTATGTCCTCGCACCAACCCTTTTTGGGATCTGTTTTGCTGTCATGCTGAAGCATGCCTTTGGAAATGTAACAAAATGTGTCTATCTCCAGACTAGATCAGATGGAAAACTCTTTAATCTCTCTAGATTGAGAGCGAAGACCAAAGTCCAACTGAAATGCATGCGGGACTTCCTGTTCATCGATGATGCAGCCATTGTTGCCCACTGCTGAAGACCTCCAACAACTCATGAATCGTTTTAGCAAGGCTGCCAAGACTTTGGACTAACAGTCAGCCTGAAGAAAACACAAGCCATGGGGCAGGGCGTGGACTTACCTCCCTCTAGTACCATCTCTACACAAGAATTGGAGATTGTTCATGACTTTGTGTACCTTGGCTCAACAATCTCTGACACTCTCTGCGGGCGTGGACTTCCCTCCCTCTAGTACCATCTCTACACAAGAATTGGAGATTGTTCATGACTTTGTGTACCTTGGCTCAACAATCTCTGACACTCTCTGCCTAGATGTCGAGCTGGGTAAACACATTGGCAAAGCAGCTACCATGTTCTCTAGACTCACAAAGAGAGTATGGTTTAATAAAAAGCTGACGGCATATACCAAGATCCAGGACTATAAAGTCTGTGTCCTGAGCACACTCCTGTACTGCAGTGAGTCCTGGACCCTTTGTGCATGGCAGGAGAGGAAGCTGAACACCTTCCATATGCGTTGTCTCCGACGCGTTTTTGGTATCACCTGGCAGGACAAAGTTCCAAATAGAGTAGTCCTAGAACGAGCTGGAATTTTTAGCATGTATATACATTACTGAAACAGCAACATCTACATTGGCTTGGGCATGTTGTGAGAATGGCTAATGGTTGGATTGCAAAAGATCTCCTGTATGGAGAATTAGTGCAGGGAAATCACCCCAGAGGGAGACCACAGCTGCTATACAAGGACATCTGCAAGCAGGATCTGAAGGCCTTAGGAATGGACCTCAACAGATGGGAAACCCTGACATCTGAGCATTCAGCCTGGAGGCAGGCACTGCATCACGGCCTCTCCCAATTTGAAGAGACACTCGTCTAGCAGGCCGAGGCAAAAAGGCAGTCACGAAAGCAGCAAAATCAGGGAGCTGGACAGGGGACAGATTGTATTTGTCTTCAATGTGGAAGGGATTGTCACTCTTGAATTGGGCTTCTCAGCCCCACTAGACGCTGTTCCAAGTCCTCCATTCAGAGCATGTTACCATAGTCTCTCGAGATTGAAGGATGCCTAGTCTAGTCTAGTCTAGTCTAACACATAAATACAGTACTCTGTTCCATCTAAGTCCAAGGAATTGCTTCTCTGTTTCTAAAACAGCAGGTGTAAGGACGAAAAGGGCAAAGAAAATTCAAACAAAACAGAGATGCCCCTGATCACCTCAGAGATGCTCCTGCGTAGGCTATAGGGATTCAGTCTGTATGGGGCCACATTGCCCCAAGGCCCAGGAGCATATTTTGGGTGTATTCTAGAACCCTGCCATGAATCTGCAGACTCATTTTTGGACAATGGTCAGGAGTCTGTTTACAGTTTAGTGGACCAACTCACCCTGTGCTATCTCTGGAGGCAAAAATAATACTGAGGCTGTTGTACTTTGGGCATATAATGAGAAAGCAAAGTTATCTGGAAAGGACCTTAAGGCTGGGAAAGGTTGAAAGCAGTAGGAAAAGAGGAAATACAAATACCAGATGAATTGACCCTAAAAGAAGCCACAGGTTTGAGTTTGCAAGACCTGAGCAGGACATTTTGGAAGTCTGTCATTCCTAGGGTTGCCATACATCAGAGGTGACTTTGTGGCATGACAACAACAACATAGTAAGGGTGGAGAACCCATGGTCTTCAAAATGGTATTAGACTACAGTTCCTGTATGCTGATTATTGGCCATGCAGTCTCAAAGCTAATCTTGAATGAAAGTAAACCAATAACAGGGATGGGCTTGGGTAGACCACTACAGCTATGTAGCACATGGCTTAAATTTATGATACACAACATCCCAACCCTGATCTTCCAAAACTCTTATAAATTGTTAGGAGCCTGAGTTTGAGAATAATTCATTTATTCCACTTCCCTTCTACCCCATGCTTCACTAACATCCTGTGATTCTGTGTCTTAACTGATCCTAGCTATAGGAAAGGTTGAAGGCAGCATAAGGTCAAACATAAATAAAAAATGAAAACAGGGATCACACTCTTGATGGGGACCTAGTGTTGAGGTGCAGGGGGCTTTAAAAGCCTTGCTTCTTCCTGTAGACTTAATCCAGACAGGCACACACCTGCAAATCATCTTGCCAAATTTTAACGTACTGGGACAAAGTATTTGCACAATCCTCAGAGTTCTTAGCCAGTGAGCATCCATTGGCATGGATGCCACAAGCATAAGGACAGAAGATTCTTCTGTATTTGGTCACTGATAGGGATCTCGAATATGGGGTGGGCACATTTAAGCCTGAATTGTGTTATGCATGATGAGAAGACTCTGCTAATATACTCTGCTTATCCATGGCCTGCATAACTTACTGTGCATGTGTTCTATCAAACATGATGCAGGGATGGCGAACACGTTGCCTTGCTGATCTTTCATCCCCCCCCATCCCCTGCTGTTTCTCTCTCTTCTTCGGCACTCTGCCCTGAAGAGAAAAGCACATCTGGAATCGTCCTTCTGCCCTATTAATCCGGTGCCCTGCTTGCACACAGGACTCTCTCCACCTTGGATGCAAATCCCTCCCTCTCC